AAAAGAGATGGAGGCCAGTAAAATTATTAAGTCATCACTATTTTGCGCAGTTCGCTGTTTTTGCTCCCCACTTGTTAAAAAATCTGGCTACGCTACTGTTTTTGGCGTGTTTTCTGATGCATATTATTTGTGATTGGAAAATAGGAGATTTGGGGATATTTTTTTGGGACAACGTCAGAAATTGTTTGCGGACAACCCGATTTGATGCCGGGGTTGTCCGCGAGACAACCAAATTTTTTTTGTTCTTTATTTGGAGGCACTGGCTATATATATATATAACTATAATATTACTATGTATATATATATATACTGTATACATATAGCTCTTGCGTTCACAGTATACCGGCTTAGCTGGTACCCGTACTTAAGTTGGTGCTAGCGTCCGGTTAAAATGGCGTTCACACGAGATACACCCACGAGTTCGAGGCTTAGCTAGCTCGGTTTACGATTATAGAAGCTCAGGTACGGTGACAGTTTCCACAACGCTATCCGCTAAGGGTCGTGCGCGAACCGGGTAGCAGTCCTAGGTTAGAGGCATACAAGGTTTCGCGAATTCAAGCGACGAACAATGCGGTTCACCAATGCGGCGACACAGAACAATGCGTTCAGCGGACGACATCAACTACGGCGCGCAGCGTGGTGCCGAATATACGCGGCTTACGTTGGCGGCGGAATATGATTGCCGCGCTTAGCAAGCCGGAGCATTGCGGGCTAAGCCAGCGTGCTAAGCAGCCGGTATTATTTTAGCGTGTGAACCGAACTTTTTTCTCCTGCGTGTGAACGCAGACGAGCAGGCTATACTGTAATACAGTATTCATTGTCACTGTCAGTAATCGTCATGCGATTTATTTTGTAACATCATAAATAATTTTGTCTTGCTGATTACTGTGCTGTTGATAGCTGTTAAATCAAACTAAATACGTGATCTAACAGTGAAAACGCGGTCACCTATAACTGTTCATCTCACAAGACTTCATATTGAAAGAATGACAAGGTTTAGGAAACGAGTCAGCAGCCACCATATCTGCACCGTCGTACGGACATGCAGCCGATAGTATAGTCGCATGTCATGATCAATTAGCTATGACTTTAGTAGTTATACCATTAGTTTTATTAATTAGTATTAGAGAAAATAGTTACCTGATGTAGTAAGCTCCATATAATCATCATCAATCGAAGTGTTTTCGAACATACTAGGCATGCTTGCGATGGAGCCAATGCTGTTTCCCTCCTCGTCTTAACTGCTGTTTTCCATGCCTTAAAACCGCGATTCATCAGATCTAGGGAATGCATGCCCTCCTCGTATATCATTCAGAATGGTACGCACACTTGTCGTACATTTATATCAAAGATTTTGAAGGGCAAGTTATTAGACAATTTCCAACACACTCATCTCCTCACTCTTCGTGATACACTAAAAGCTTATTTACTTTTCGGCTATGCTTTTCGGGTACCAGACGGCCGAGTTGCGTTGCGCGCCGCGCCGCGAGCGGCGGTATCGATATTAGAGTTGCGCATTAGGGTCGAGTCGGTGATGGAGAGCGGAAGGGGAAAGTGTCTGCGGCGGCGCAAGACAGCGGCGCACGCGGGCTGGACCAGACGATGAAAACATAGTAAATCCCACCCGACTTCGTCGGGCGGGGGATCCAAATAGGTCACAGAGACAGGGGCCCAGGGTCACATATCTCCTGTAGTTCTGGGTGTAACCGAATCCACATAGAAATGGAAAGGAACGGGCCAAAATAAAACGAGGCGGTTCAGAAGCCGAAGGAGCCTGCACAGTCCAGAGACTGCTCTTGAAATGATAGGACGCACGAAAGAAACTGAGATGCTGTAATCCAGTTGCTGGTTCCGAAATACCCGAGACCGAGCAGCTGCCAGCAAAAGGGGAAAATGCAAATCATGTGGTAAATGGGAAGCGCATTTATTGCAACAGTGTGCAGAAACTCTGGCAAGAAAACCAGCAGGCGTAACCAATGACTACTCAGCAAAGCATAAACCCCTACTGTCCTGCAGTGTAGGTGATCCTGTCTTCAGTACATAACCGTGTAACAAAAAGATGGGATAGAATACTGGTGTGGTGCAGAGACGTAACTAAGAATCGAAAGTTATGTTATCCATGCTTCCCATCAGGCCTACTGAGCTGCACCCTGAGAAATCGAATTACTGTGAGACGTAGATTCCCGCCAACATGGTACCAAACTGCAGGAACTGAAATGGTCACCAATCACTCCAGAGACGAATCCTCATGAGGCTACAGAGCGCGGAGAATCTACGAGACGGCAATACCTGCATTGCATCCATGCTAGCTCGACCGCGTTGAAGTACATCAACCAGCTGCAAGAACCCTGAGCATGATGTACAGATGCCAATCTATTGTCCATTAATAACAATAGTGTACAGATAAATAAATCAATGAATGTACGTGCGAAGACTGGTCCTGAACCAGTTCAACAGGTCTGGAACGTAACAGGAAACCCACCTGTAGCGATTTAGTAGACTATGTGTAAGAACCCCTCCATAAACGGTCGTACTTCAATAGTGTCTTTCAGCTCGTTGTGTGCGTTAGTAAAGTACTGTTTCAATGTTTTCGTTTATAGTTATATGCATTTCTAAGTACGATCTTGTAAGGGAGGGAGATGTAGATAATTGCAAAACGATAAAGATAATGTTTATTCTTTGTACGCGCCAAGATGGTGGCCGCCACTAGTCTATCAATTTGAAGTTATGGGGGCGCTAGTCTCTAACAATACTGCCTGTTGTAAACTGCATTGTGTTAATGCAGTTCATATCAAATGATATTATGTAAGAAGTAAGACAGTCGTTGGATATCTTTATTGCTAACTTACTGAATCCCGCTAGCGCGCGGGCTTTAGTGAGCCGTGATGTCATGTGTTACGCAGTGCAGTAGGTGTTTATGTGTAAGGTGTTATATGGAGAGTTTAGGTTATTGGCATATGTTTTGTTTTTTTTATGGTTGAGATGTCACTACAAATACATGTGGATAATCGATGGCTTAACGCTAACACATTAACCATTCTGTTTATTGGCAAGTCAGCACACGTAATACCACACCAGGCAACACAGCCAATGTTTTATCTGGGTAATGCATCTGTACTGGCTTGATGATACGGACTCCCGCGGGCGCGGCGTCAAAATTAGACATAAAGATAGATCGTGATGGGTAAAATACGTAAACGTATATATTACGTGTTTCGCGATGTTTCGCACTGTGGATGCGGACCAGGTAATATTGTGTGTTGTGATCGCTTACTTCGTACGCCCTGTTGTCGGCCTGGCTGTGGCGAACGACGTGAATATCTTACGTGCTGTGTGATCGGGACCGGCTTGTGACGAGTCGGCTGTTCACGGACCACCCGTACGACTGTACCAGCACTTGCAGACTTCCAAAAAAAAAAAATTCCTGCCGCTGATGAAATTCACTGTAATCTCATATGGGCATAACTATGGCGCAAATAGCTAGTGAATATTTCAACTTCATAGGCCAAAACAAAATATATAGGTGTGGTTACGTTTCCGCGCGGACCCACCCCTGATTTATTCCCAGCCCGACCCTAGAACGATTTTATTGACACTTTTCCTTTAAAGCTAAAAAGCAAATTTAAAAACGGCGCCCCGGGCCCCGCAGTCCCCGAGGTGCCACACCGCACCAGGTCGCGCCCGTCCGAGCCGTTCACCAAATTACACCGCGGGCCATTTTTTTTTGAAAATTTAAAAAAAAATATGAATTGGACAGTTTTCTGCTTCAAACGAAAGGGCGAACCATAGCTTGTTTAGCAACTACCACGACTCTTTTGGCTGGGAAAGGGCAAAAATTATGTAAAATTTACGCCTACTGTAAAATTTTGATGGGGCACTGGGGACTTCGTCTGTGTTGAAGTGTGTCCAAAGTAAATCGTATTTTGTAGCACACTATCAAGCGCTCTTAGTAGGGAAGCTTTTAGTTTAGCTACACCTGTATAAAACGTATATAGTTTCGTCGCACAAACGCTGTAAGAACCCAATAGTGACACGGTTAAGAGCCTGAGTGGTGCGACGAGACTGTAGCTGGCTGTTTCATGAGCTAGTAATACGCCCACCGTGAGCTTTGGCAGCTACAATGGACTTAATTATGACATGTGTTGTTACCAATACTTGAAGACAATTATTATATATTTACTGTATATTAGTTCAACGTGATTATATTACTAAATCTCTTAATATTAATTTTAAAACAGTATACTGATCCTTTGTAATAAGTACCAGGTGATACTATTCTACTGTTTACATCCTAACGTGACACTGCGCGGGGATGTGAGAATTCTTCCAAACGCTAGCGGCACGTGACAGTGAGGCGTGCTGCACGACCCGTGGGCATGTAAATAAACGCCTGCAACACAATGTAGGGTTCAGCTACCTGGCGCACAAAGTAAGCTCGCACCCACTCTTATACGATTTTTGCCGAACGGCTGCTACGGATTCGGCACCTGTGCTAACCTGTTCGTTTCGAAGCCTCCCCACGGGCACGTTTCTTGAATCAGAATGGCCAATAACGTTGATTGCAGTGGGCAAACGGCGGATTGTTTACATGTATGTCGCGGTTATGACGGATTGCGGTTTTTCAAATAAATACCGCCCTGGAGTTAATATGCATGAACAGATTTCTCCAGTTCAACAGTTTCTCGAGTGTTTCAATTTTCGGTGATTAATTTAACTGTAACGATCAGACGGGCGCTGTTTTATGCCAGAAGCTGTAGGCCCGGCATCGAAACTGTCGCGCGGCGGGGCGCGCGGACACGACGCGAATTTGCGAACACTGCACGGGCAATAGTATGTAGTATCATTACTTAGGACCGTGTGGATACTTAAGTTTGTAATAATGAATTGGACAGTTCCTGCTTCAAAAGGAGCACAACGGCACATCCTTCGACTATGGGTATGCGTAAATAAATGTTTCAATAACACTAAAATGTTTTCCCGCCGAAAAAAAAACGCCGACCTATCCCCTAACTGTTTTTTCCGGCGATGAAACGGTAACCACGACTGTACACCTATATTTTGTTTTGGCCTTATTAATGGTTATTTCTACTTACATTATGGGCTTACACAATATGCTCAGACAGCACAGACCCCAGAAACCGCAGATACACAGAACAACACGGAAATTAAAACCTGTTTGAAACAAAACGAAATACAAACAGAAGACACAAAACAGGCCCCCTTTTTCAGGCAATGTTTACCTTTTTTTGTGTGGTTTTTTGCTGTCTTTTTTAAGACCGAACAAACGGTTTTCAACCGAGTATAGTTTAGAACCCGTCCCGTGTACTCATCGATCTCTTCTGTAAATTTGGCGCTATTTGGATCCACACTGACGGAGCCTTTCATTAACATACATACATACATACATACAACATTCGCCAAATTATAGTAAGATGCCTC